GAGTCGTCTGAGCTGTCATTTGTCGCGTGGCCGAGCTTGAGGAAAGCTCGAGCTGTTCGTCTTGCGTCGGCATAGTACTGCTTGTAATTCCAAGTGAGCCACTCCTTAAAAGTGCATAAGGGCGCTTCAGCTTTGTGAGGAATCCATGGAGATATTTCTGGTAGTATGTACTGACAGTCAGTGGCTCTCATGAGGCTGATGCCAAAAGGCTTCACGGCTTCATGTGTAGTTCTGTAGCTACAGACCACAGAAAGTGGAAGCTGGCTTGCTTCCAGTGATATGAACATTGCCTGGATGGCATGTTTCGGATCAGGCTACAACTGCAGTGATGCAACATATCTACCCAACATGTGAGGGTTTTGCCCCATCAGCACCCCAACCTCCTACTGTCGATTCTGCAGCGGTCGCTAGCCGCTACTGCCGCTACCCTGCTACTGCGTTCGATTTCTCTTCTGGCTGATCCTCATTCACTCACCACCGCTGCCACCGACATCAACAATCGCTACTGACAATGGTGCAAACCCTGGTATATATTCCTCTTGTCATGATTTTTCTCACTGACAGTGAGCTGGCTTGAAGGCTCGATCTCTGAATAAATTGGTTATCGTTATGGGCTTGGCATAGCCTCTACAAGGCCTGATGACCTCAACGATAATTATCAGTTGCAACATGCTCTGAGCCTTCAGTTGAGGTCCTGAGTGGGGCCCATCCAAGCTTTCTCAAGCCCCAATGACCCGTCAACGCTCACATCGGAATTGTCAGCACAGGGAGGAAAGGCATATAAGATGTGCGCAAGGAAATATGAGAGGTGCCGAGCAGCATCGTCTGGGAGGGCAGGCGGCACTGTGCCATCCTGCTGCTTGGCCCACCAGGAATGACGGTGAGATGTGGGTGAGGGTTAAAAGCGCGTCTTTAGGACACGGCCTCGTGTTTGGCGGCGTGGGCAAATGAGGCAGCACGCCTAATTCACATGTGGTGGCCAAAAAGAAGCATAATGAACCAGAACTTTTAATAAGAATAGTCGTCAATACTTGGAGCCGAGAAACAGGTAGGGGCCATACTAGGGGCCCATGGTAAGGACGGTCGGTATGTATGGGTACACTTGCGTTGTTATCATGCTGGGCGTGAGAGTAGGAGTCACGAGAAGCCCACGAGAACATTGGGCAGACTGTTATTACCGCAGTCATTGCTGTCAGCTGAGAGGACATGCTTCCTGCAGTGGGTAGGCCCGGGTAGGTATCAGCGCCGTCTTGTGTCATAATGAATTGGGAGGGTGGGCCTCAAACATCTGTTGTTTTGCCCTCAGCTTCTTGGAGGTATGTTATAGGCGCCCCGGAAGCAGGAGGGTGCTGCAAAAGCCAAACCATCATATTGTTTGGTTTCTCACTTGGACAAATCTTGAACCTCACAAGAATGCCACAAGGAGCAGCCCGCACTTCTACACAGCTGGCTCACATTTTTTCACCAGGTCAGGTTGTAGAAGCAGAGGTGGTGTTCAAAAGGCACAGCACGATTCTCTTCAAAGAATAAGAAGTTTCAAATAGCACTGCGTGTCAGCAGCCCTGTCCCTGTGAAAGACATTTTACCATGCCAGCTCCCCCGCAATTGCGATTATAATGTGAATCCGGCAAATCTTCACTGTAATGATGGTTCTTTTCCTTCAGAACCGACCATGCCTTACCTTCTTCGGGAAACTCGTTACGTCAATTTAGTTTGGATCATTCTGCCTGACAGCCCCCACAACCCTATACACGCCAAACCCAACTATCCCGAGAGTTCTCATGCAAGCAGAAAGGGGCCCCGGACATCCTTGTCTTGAAGGGGGAGCGGCCTTTCCACCTGTTGGGGCAGGATTGATTTGGCACTGTTCGGGGTTTAGGGGTTCTCAAACTATGGATGCTTTCAGCGACATGCACGGGAAGAAAAATGTTGTGAGATCCATTTGATGGGAATCTCAAGACTCGGGCCATTGTGGATGGAATGGGGCAGCCAGCTATGAGACACATCAGTCTGCGCTTTGGGTTTGGGATCTGGGCCGATGGTTGAGGATGAACGGTTTACAATGCACAGCTTTGCTTACCGCCCGTGGGAGGATGATCAGTCAAGCTGTCGCTGGGCATCTGCCAGGAACTTCACATCAAGGCCTGGCAGCAAGGTCTACAGTGCAGCTGTAAACTTTCAAGAAGTGAAGGCATCTATTGTGGTGATGGTCCTCGGTTGCTTGGTGCTGCAAAAAAAGTCTCGTGACATCCCGAGAGATGCCCGTGTGATGTTAACAATGGATTGCTGCGCTGTGCTTGGAACTTCTGCGCTGCCTGCATAAAGAGCATTGCCAGGAGCTTCTCAGACTTAAAGATATGTACGAGTAAAACTGGTGAAGAGGTTGGAAACAAACTTCCTAACAAGGAGGCAAAGGGCTGTGCTTTAGCTTCTGGCCTGACACAGCTATGCCGGTGAATATGTCACCTTGTAGCATCATAGTTGTGAAAGCCGACATCCTCTTCCTGCCTCCCTATTTTGAATGTGCCTAGCTCCGGACCTTCAGCCCATATTCGATAATGAGAACTGAATATAACAATATAACATCATCTGACTGCTACTCCTACTACTCCTACTCCTACTCCTACTACTACTACTGCTGCTGCTGCTACTACTACTACTACTACGACGACGACGACGACGACGACGATGACGACTACGACTACGACTACGACTACTGCTGCTACTGCTGCTGCTGCTGCTGCCTACGACTGCAGCTACCTCCAGCGCTACCCACACTAATGACTACATAAGTGCTACATAGTGCTACAGCAATACTAAAACTTGCTCTTCCTAGGCCCACTGCAAATGCCTTCAGGGCTGGCTTGTCGCCTTTCTCCTCGGCCGCTTTCTTGAGCATGGCAGGGATTGTGACCTGAGCATTAAGAATCTTCTCAGACTTCCACGTGCAAAACCATATCTGGAATGACTGACATCTAGAGTCTAGAGATTCCTTGGAGAACCTCTATGCGTGAAGCCCCCAGCTCATTTAAGGATTCAGGCATGTTGATGGTCTCGCTTTTTTGCCACAAGCTACATGTATGGTGCTTTCGCTCGCGATCACCGCGCTGCAGTCCTGTCGTGAACTGCAGTTTGAAGCCTGAAGCTGAACCCCAAGCACCGCTTGCGTGGCATTACTTGCGGGAAAGTGTTCTCACTTGACGGGGCCGCGCGGCCCTATTTGGGGGAAACCCCATGATTTTGCAGCATGATGCCTCAATTTGCTGAGGATCCCAATTGATTGTTTGGAGGGCGGGACGCACCGTGCTGTTGGCATGACATGAACCATCCAGCTGAATGGTGAATGCATAGCGGAATGCATGAAGCATAAGGGGCCAGGGTCACCAACAAATCTTCACAAGAAAACTCGCAAAGGGCGTGAACTCAGCCTCGCTGCTAGGATTCAGAAATTTAGTTTGGCAGATACCTGCCTTGTCTGCGACAGGCATGATGCCAAACCAATGGCTTGCCATGGCTTGCTCTTAACCACCCATGATCCCTGTCGGATAAGATCGAAGAAGCAACATCCCACTTCATGCCCATGGGCATCCCACAGGTCACCAATGCTTGATCGGGTCACCGCAGGGCACTCGCCAGCGCTAGCGATGCCATTCTTCGCAAACCGGATTTGCATGGCGCCATCAGGTTTACAAGTGTACCTTGAAGCGGAAGCTTCATCGGGCTTCATGTACCGGAGCCACAAGAATAGGAGGTTTCAAGGCCAGGGGTTGAGGGCAAGTGTCAAGCCCCTGCGTCTAGGGCTGTGACCCATTCCTTGATTCCTTGGGAGATTGAGAAAACAATTTTCCCAAGAAAGTTCTTGGCAGGCCCTTGAGATATGCCCGGGTTCTGAGAATGCTCGTTACGTAAGAGCTGTATACAAAGCTTCATTTGAACAACTGCCGCATCAACTTGAGGCTTTCACGTGCTGCTCTTGTCAGGCGGACTACCGAGAATTTGAAATACTTTCCAGCCCTGCACATCCTTCCATCAGGGGGCACTCCTAGTTTGAGAGGCCCGTTCTGGAGGCTTGCCAGAAGAGAAGGAAGTCTCCCTGCCTACATCCGTATAAGCCCTAAACCCTAACCTTCTTGAACCATTGAAGCCAGGCTGCCAGGGTCCGCTGCCAGCATAGGAGCTGTAGTCTCAGTTGGGGATTGTTCTGGGCATCACATTGGGGGGAAGTCTCCAAAGTTGGGCCCCGACCCAGTGTTTCCCTGACAAAGCATGCCGTTACAAGTCTACCGGAGAAGAGAGGAGTCAAAGTCAGTGAGATGTTAGAACTTCACTGCAGACAGGCCACGGTCAGGATCCCTTGGGACAGGCGCTTCGTTCAAGATCTGCGGACTGTCGCAGGACACAACGCTGCCCATGCTTCCTGCAAAGGGGATGTGACACACTCAGACTCAAACAATAGACCTCGGCTAGAGCCCTAGGCAGTGCCCTCACTTCGAAACTCAAGGGAATGCCAACTTCTCCCTAACATGTCATTCCCAGCATGTCATTCCTGCCCATTAAGCACTCAGCCGCCGATTTGCTCCCCCACCCTTCACACGAGTGCCCGGCCTGGTTGCAGACAGCTCTGTGATGGGGAGGCGCTAAACAGAGTGAGAGAAGCTGAGGTGAGACAGTGGTCAAATGTGGTCAACGTCTGAAGATCTTTGCCAACTGGGACCTAAGGGGGTACTTCACCTGATTTGCAATCTACTGTATCCCAACCACGCGATTCGGTACCCCGCAATTGTACGAGCATCAGTCTCAAGGGTCCAGGAAGAGTCTCTGAAATTCGGCGGCCCAAGGCCCCCTTTGACCACTGAAAAACTTCAACTAACTTGCTGTGTTGTACGAAGTGGGAATGCCTTTAAGAGCAAAGGCCGATGGTATTCTAAGCTTCAAACAGCCGAAGTTGCATGAGGTCATGGTAGGCATCCCTGGGAGCATCGGACACTGCCCTTTTGGTCTTACTCTGCCACCACAGGCAGCGGAGGAAGGTCCGAGGGCGCCTCGGCAAAGTGCTGGTCACTACGGCAGAGTCCGCAGACTATGGCTCAGTAGCAGGAGTCTCAAAGGTTCAGATTTGCTGTATCTTGCGAGCCCTACGTGCGAGCGGGTGTGCCCTGAACTCTACTACACAGTTACTACACACATGCGGAGAGGAACTGAACTGAACTAGCCATCTTTGGAAATAGTCGACTGCTGAAAAGGAATGTCTACCGCGGCAAAGGGACTCCGACCTGAAGAACGAACTAGCTCTGAGCCAAGTCTTGGAAGCTACGTACAATCGAAGCAGCGCGCCCAACTGCCATCCCCTCCACAATCTTTCCTACGATTTCGCACGGCAAAGGATCATCCCCGTCACCTCTCCAACTAGTACTGCCGACGTACGAAACCCAGCATGGCCTTGTACGCCCTTTGCCAATGTAGTCTACACAGGCTCCTTCAGGATCCTAGCAGTATCCATCAAGGGTAACAGTTCCCTGCCTCTGGATTTGCGCTGCTCGGGATAGCGGGAAGCGGAGCTAGCTTTCCATCCGGCCGGCGTTTCCTTGACAAAAAATCTGCCCTCCATAGACGTCTCCTATTTTTCTCCTTGAACCCCATACGCATGCTGACAAGAAGTATCACACGCCACACCAACGCAATGCCTCGACTTGGAGCTTGATGATGCTAGTGGTAAGGAAGTGGGTTGGTGGTACAAGAGGAACTTGCCGTAAGGAAGGGGTGCAGAAGCTAGTCGAACGTGAGAGACTGTCAGCTCCCTTTGGTAGCTCTGCCATGCGCAGTTAGTGCAGTTGTTTACGAGTTTTAGACTAATCCGCCCGGATTGTTGCATAGCAGTTAGCACCACCTGTGCGGAAAGTGCGTGGCTACCTTCCCCTGGCTCCCTCCACAATATGTCTTTGCACATCAAACACGCTTGTCTTCCACTCTCCCGTCAGATAAACGGATATTTCCAAACCATGGGGAGAGGTCTCTATTTTGGGATCTGTTTTGGGATCT